CTTTAGCATCCAAATCTCCCATAATACCTAATAAAAATAACTGCGGTGTGAACTTTATCTTTTTCTTAAAAATATTTTGAATATTCCACCAAACCTTGATCCAAAATGCTTTTATTTCCCTACACGTCCACCAAATATGAAAATAAGTTGCATCTAAACTTCCACATCTCCAACATTTGGGCTGTAAATTAGAATACATACACGCCAATTTTTGAGGATCCAAATGCCACCTATAAAACATCTTATAAAAATTTTCTCTTAAATTTTGGGCTTGAGTAAATTTTACATTTTTAACCCAAATTGTCTCCCATGTATCCAATGAGATCGATTCTTGAATATTTTGAGCCCATTTAATCATGCAGTCTTTAACTAGTTCCATTTCAGAATCCAATTCAATCAAAGCATTATAAATTCTCTTTATATGTGCTTGGGTTGGATCTTTAATCTGTTTGATCAAATTCACATCCTCCAAAGTAATACCAACCTTCTGATCTAGACTCCACCTCATTAACAATTGATTATAATAAAACCAGGAATATACAATATTTTCTTGTTTCAAATCCGCTAAGGATTTAATTTGCCAATCCTGTCCTACCAAACTAAGTAATTCCCTATAGGTAATATTATTCAAATTAACTCCTCTAGGTCTCTTAAAGTGTCAAATTTAGCAGAAATGGCTAAGATTTCTGCTTATTTAAAGGATCAAACACAGGAAAGATATATTTCAGTTTGGAGAAGATGGATAGATTATATCCAGAATAAATATGGGACTGAAAAGTTCCATTTGGTGTTTGAGTAAATTTTACAGTATTGTTATTGTGAATATTTTATTATATTTTTTATTATATTTTATTATATTGATATTATTTTGAGTAGTAATTTTGTCTAATAATTAAGTTGATTATTTGTTTATTATTGTGTTTAATTTTAAAATATCTAAATTTATTTTAAAAGGGAGTTAAAGTGTGTTATAGATTTGGTTACATAATTAGTTGGATAATGTTATTTAGATTATGATTAATATATTTGTAACCCTGTGAACAGCTCTGGGGGGTGGGGGGTTTTGGGGGGTGGGGAAGGGGGTTTATTTTGTAAATGTTATAAAACGTTTAATAAAAAAAAATAGTATTATATAATATCTGCCTATCCTACTGTATGTCCTCGGGAAAGACTCAATAAGGGGATACAAATGCCAAATCCAGTCTAAATATCTGGCTGATTGTGTGATCAATTACACTACAAATAACATGGGTCCATTGCAAAATGGATTACAATAGCCAAGATGACTTGTTATGCTAAGTAATACTTTTTTTTTCAAATTTTCAAATAATAGGGTTTTGACATTGTGGTATGTGGATCCAGCATTGTCATTCGTAAGCTACCTACTGGACATAGTGATAGGTATGAACCAATGTGGCTCATACATTGAACCACAATTAAGTAAGCAAAGGCGTAGGAAAGGGTCAGAGTTCAGCCAGTGAGATAAACTTAACCACCCAATCAGATTACATTGAAGAAAGAAATTCAAGTTTATGAAATGTGATTACTGAATGCTGCTTAGGTTTTGGATTCCTCAGAAAACCACTTCTGTGAGATTTAGCCTAAAAATTTTTTTCCAACGCTATGATGCATATAGTATTGTTGTTGTTGCTTTATTATTTAATTCTTTTTTCAGGCTGCCCTAGCACATCTGAAAAGCTCTGGTCTATGGAAAAAATGAAAACTTACTTCTGCCTTATCAAGCATCTCCAGCCGATACTGACTGATGAAAGCCACCTGATCCTTGTCCGCTACTATCAGATGCAGCGGCAGAGCGACTGCCGGAACGCAGCCCGAACCACAATCCGCTTATTAGAGAGCTTGATTCGGCTCGCTGAAGGTCAGACCTCTTTCTTCCCCATTTGCTTTTTCAATAGCTGCGTCCCAAAGAATTGATTAATAAACATGCATTAAAAAAAAAATGCTGCAGTCAATATTTTACCCAGTTTTGTAGATTTGACTTCTAAAGTCAAATGCTATTGTCTACCTCCTGAGGCCACCAAAATAGCTATCTTTGTTTTCGCACTATGTTTCACAGGCCAAGATGTCAAAAAATTCTTGCCCTATATCAGTGGTGGCGAACCTATGGCCCGGGTGCCAGAGGCGGCACACAGAGCCCTCTCTGTGGGCACGCACACCGTTGCCCCAGTCCTAGACCTTCAGCTGGGTTTTATAAAACCTTTTCGCTTTAGGCCTCCGCAGCCGTGTGCAAAAAAAAAAAGGTTCAATCAGTCAATTTCAACTTCTCGCAGGGAAAAAAAAGATCTTGCAAAGTTGGAATTGATTGATTGAACTTTTTAGTCCCACCCAGTCTGCCGTTACCACCGCAGCCACGCCCACCCGGCACTCGACGATGCATAAGTGGGTTTTGGGTTGCAGTTTGGGCACTCAGTCACTGCCCTATATAAATTGCTTATAAATGTAAAGCTTCTTTATGCATGCATAATATGATCCAGGCAGAGTTCTCCAGCTTACTCGTGTATGAGCTAAAAGACAGAATAAGGAGATATTATGCTTTGTGCTTTGTTTATCATGCTTTGTGCTTTGTTTATCACAGAAGCAGACTTATCAGTAGCTGTGTATGTGTGTGTAAGGTATTTTATTAAAAGAAGATTTTACATAAGATCAAAAACTATAGAAACAAAAAGAAAAGTAGAAAAAAGGTATATTAGTAGAATAAAAGAAAAAGTGAAGGGCAACAAAAGAGAAGGAAAAAGGAGAATACCATGA